TGTCGGGGGTGCAGTTATGCAAAGTACTGCAGCCAGGACTGTGCAGACATGGCATGGGAGCAGTACCACAGGACAGAGTGTTCCCTGGGAGCGCTGCTTCTCACGTTGGGCGTCTTCTGCCACGTGGCCTTGAGGACTGTTCTACTGGCAGGATTTGCAGAGGTTAACAGGCTGGTGGAATGGTCCCACAGCGGGGACAAGGACCCTCATAACTCCAAAGCAGGGTGCAAATGTCTCAGTGAGACACCAGAGCCAGGAGCTGGTACCAGAGGTATCCCTGGTTGTGACGACAGTGGTCAGTATCACAGTTCTTACCAAGCTGTGTTCCACCTTTTGCCCCACACTGAGCAGCACAGCCCTGAACACAAGTTCCTCTGCATGCTGAGTGTAGTAGCCATATGCAAACAGCTGCAAGAGGCTGGCCTACATGCTGCTGTTTTGAATCAGGAATCATCTGAGCAGTGGCCCAAAACAAAGACATCTGAACAAACCTCGGATGAATTGTCTCCAGAGCTGAAGACTGTGGCAGAAGCGATGCTGAGACACATGTTGCAGCTGCAGTGTAATGCACAAGCCATCACTGTAATGCAGGAGTTGGGTAAGATAAAAGCTTTTAAGTCCTTCTCTCTTGTCACAGAATCTCAGAATTGTTAAGGTTGGAAGGCACCTCTGGAGATCACTCAGTCCAACCCCCCCTGCCAAAGCAGGGTCACCTGGAGCAGGTGACACAGGAACATGTCCAGGTGGGTTTGGAATGTCTCCAGACAGGGAGACTGCACACCTTCCCTGGGCAGTTCCAGTGCTCTGCCACCCTCAGTGGAAGGAAGGTCTTCCTCATATGGAACTTCTTGTGTTTTATTTCATGGCCGTTGCTCCTTGTCCTGGCACTGGGCACCACTGAAAAGAGTCTGGCACCATCCTCCTGTCACCCACCTTTGAGATATTTATATTTATTGTCCCCTCTCAGTCTTCTCTGGACTAACCAGGCCCACCTCCCTCAGTCTCTCCTCATAAGAGAGATGCTCCAGACCCCTCTGCATCTTTATGGCTTCTGCTGGACCCTCTCCGGTAGCTTCTTGTCTTTCTCATACTGAGGAGCCCAGAACCGTCCTGTCCTTGCTCATCTAGCTTGTGTGATGTGAAGAGATTGAATTATCAGCTGTAAAAAGCTCCCACTGCAGATGAAAATGACTTGCTTAAAATTTAATGGCCTGTCCCACGCTGGCCTGTTCTTTGGTGCACATGCAGAGCGTGTTTCACTATTATTTATTGCAGCAATATACCGGGAACCTTCCTGCTGCTGTCTGCGATCGGTCACGGCGCTCATTGCAGAAGTTGCGTGGGTTTGTGAGCATCCATTCCCAACCTGCCTGTTCTTCCTCTGTCTCCAGGGCCCGGAGATGGTGCTGTTGTAAATAAGAAGCCCGTGCGCCTGGCGACAGCCTTCTTTCCTGTCCTCAGCCTCCTGAACCACTCGTGCTGTCCCAACACCAGCGTGTCATTCAGTGGGACAGCTGCCACTGTCAGGGCATCGCAGCCAATCCCAAGGGGCCAAGAGATCTTCCATTGCTATGGTAAGCATTAACTCTGGGTTTGTCTCAAGGCACAGACATCATTCCTTGGCATTCTGGTGGATATTAATACCATAATACCATAATGTTGCTGGAGCCTTTTTTTGTGTATCAGCCTTGACCAAAGATATCAACACGAAATTTTATCACTTGAGCCCACTGTTGGATTTTCAGTCTCCAGCTATGTCCTCTCCAAAACATATGTGGTCTCAATTATAACCAAGATCCATTTACTCTGATATTAAGAACTGTACCTGTTTAGAGATTTCTACCCTTGCCATTCCTTTTCAGGGCCTCACCAATGTAGGATGGGAGCTGCTGAGAGACAACAGCTTCTCAGACAGTATTTCTTTGAGTGTCACTGTCGGGCATGCCTTGATGAGTTAGAGTCTGATGTCAAGAGCGTGGTGTCCATGAGAAACTCATTCTGCTGTCCCAGCTGCCAGGCTCCAATGCAGGTAGTTCTCCCATAGTTATAACTGTGGAACTTAACTGGAGTGTGTAAGGTTTGGGTCTCTGGGAAAGCCAAGAGTTAAAGGCCTCAGTTCAATCCCTGCTCAGCAGGCAAAAGCTACTGTAGAGTCATGCCAGTATCTCACTGTTTCTTATAAAATCAAATAAGCTAATAGCACTTTACGAAAAAGTCACTTTGTTTAATGAATACAACTGAAAAACAATTTAGCATCTCTATAAAACAATACAGAGCTAATGGAGATGGAAAGTAAGTGCTGAGTTGAACGTGAGCAGGAATGATCACAGGGATGATTTCCATAGGGGGAAGAAGACCTGCTTTGTTGTTCAAATGAAGCTTGTGCAACCTCAGTCAGCAGAGAGAACCTGTCACGCCGTTTACAGGACCTTCAGCAACAGATCAAGAAAGCTTTAGACCTACTGAGGGACAGGAAGGCTGGTAAGGCTCAGCTTTCTGCTCTAAGGTCAGGAGCTGAGGAGTACAGGTTGGGACACAAAGCTGTAGCCATGAGATGGCACTGTTGCTCATGCCTTTGGGGTCTTATGGCATGTGGCCTGGTGTCCCTGGGGACTTCACCTTTAGGTTTTTTATACCCCTGATCCGGGTATTAATCTAAGTCACACATTGTCCCATAATAAAGTAATTAAATAAAAAAGAAGTCAGGGTAACATTGGAGTTAGGCATTCCCGGGCCTTGCTTTCCTGGGGTGAGTTGGGCCTACACTGGGGTAGAATAAGCAGAGTTGAATCCCAACCAAATCCCAATTACCTGTGTAAGATGCAAAGATGAGATCAGATTGATTTTACTTCATGGATCATGGACAGCTGGAGACTGGCCATAGGATGAATTTTGTAACCTGTTTCATTATAGATCAGGCTATCAAAATGCTCCTGAAGTGTCAAATGGATGCTGGAAACTTCTTATCTCCAGAGCATTTGCTGATGGGAGAAATGGAGGATCATCTGGCACAGGTCTATGCTACTCTTGGTATGGTGTTGTCTTCCCATTATCCCATGTTTTCTGAACTTTGAATTTAACATGACTAGCCTTTTCTCAGACTGGCCCTTGCATTTTTTTCCCTAGTTTTGACAGCAGGGCTCTCAGAAAGACCAAGACTATGTTCCTAGGAGCCAGTGAACAATAATGTCATCTCATGTTCTTCTAGATTGCCTGCCCTGGTTCTGAGTTCAGCAGCCTCCCAAGAATGCTGTGGACATAGTTCATCACATTGTGCATAATGCTGTCAGATTCTTTGGGTGGTGATAGCTCTAGAAAATATTTATTCATTTCTCATTTTTTGTTTTGGTTTGGTTTTCCATCAGGGAAGTGGCAGGAAGCAGCCAGACACCTGAAGAAGAGTATTGGGATTGTGGAAATGCATCATGGGCCATCAAGTGTAGAAACAGGTCATGAACTCTTCAAGCTGGCACAAATTCTCTTCAATGGGTAAGTTTGGTTTCATCCTCTGTCCCTTCCCTGCACCACTCCTGTGTGTCTGACACAGTATCATGGCAGGTGGTCCTCGACACCCTGAGGGTGTCTCACAGGACACTGGGCAATCTGGCACAGGTAACAAAGTGGGCCATTACACAAGTGCAAGTTCCTTAACCCCACTGGGGTTCCCTTATTCCTCGCAGCTCTCTTTGGACCTGTTTTCTCTGCTTTTGCCTGTCTATTTTTCGCTTCTCCTTGGCTCAGTTTATTCCCTGTCCAATCATTTTATTCTGACAACTCATCACCCTTGGTGTTTATACCTCAGTTGTGTAATGTTGCTGACATCTTCTCAAAGGAGAGAATGAAATCCTCTTGCTTTACTGTCAAGGAAATCCCTGGACTGCTTCTGAAAAGCTTCTCACAACACCTCCCTTTAACTGAATTAATTTTGGTGGGAGCCACAGTGAGGAAATAGGGGGTACTATACTCAGAGATAATGTTTTCAGTTTTTGTCCATCTCCTTACCTTTTCCTCCCCCTCATCCTCCCTTTGCAGCTGAAGTTGCACATGATTTGCCTGGTGCTGAAAGGCAGGGGAGGGTGGGATCTGTACCCATGAACAGGTTTAGGTTTTTGTTAGAAAGAGCTTAAAGGTTGTGGAAGTCAAGAAGCTGAATTAAGTATTTTGCATACTCTGCTATTATCTTCCTATTTCAGATTTGCAGTTTCTGAAGCTCTGAGCACAATTCAAAGAGCAGAGGAGATTTTGTCAGTGCACTGTGGTCCTCAGAGTGCTCAGATCCAGGAACTACAAGAGATGAAGACCTGTCTGTCAGAGCTTCCCAGAAGCATCCTTCAGAGGACTTAATTTCCCTGTCAAAGGAAGCTGCAATGTGATCTTTCATCAAAGCTAAGTGTCATGTGGTAAGGTAGTCATGTAGTACAAGCTAGAAAATCGTGTAACAGCAACTTGAATGAAATCAGAAATGCTCTTTAGTGAGGCTGTTGTAAATAAAATGACCAATTCTAACGTGAGAGGTCTGTGTGTGGTACGGTGGGAATAGAGGCTGTTGTATAATTTCTGTGTGTGGGTTGGAAGCAAATGTTTGAGTTGCTTGTGTATGAAGTGTGACTCTCCCCTGTGTGGTACCCTGAGCATTATGAACGTACAGTCATCCAGAGCACACTGCCTTCTATTTTTAATACTGTGAAGCACTTTTCTTGCCAGTGTCAAATGTAAATAGTTGTGAGGGGTGAGGCAGCAGGCTGGGAAGTGCAAACTTACAGCCTATAAGAGGGGGCACTGCAGAACCTGGAGGGCTCCAGCACAGGTCTGTCAGTAATGAGGGATTCGGTATCAACAACTGGTGTGAGGTTGGAAAGCGGGATAGGGAAGAATGCAGTATACACCAGGTATTTCTTGCTTTTGGGACACAGAACTGCATTGTGGCTCACTGGGGAAATTGGGAGTGAAGGCACAGGATGTAGGCAGACAATCTTTCAAGGGAGAATACTGGGCCTTGCTGAGATTAATAGCAAAAGCTCTTTTATTGCAGCATGAAGGCATAAGATTTGCAAGTTGTGTCTTTGTGCAGCAGAGCAGGGAGTCAGTATCCCTCCCAATACCACCCTTTCCATTTGGGCCCTACCATTGCAGATTATTGTGATGGGATCTAAACACCCCTGGGATCCAGGATCTTGCCAATAAAGAGGAGGGTTCCAGTGGTGTCATCTCGCAGCACAAGGAGGAAAGGTCTGTCCACGTGATATTCTATGGGGAAGGTCAGACGAGCAGCGTTCGCCACAGGATTTGGTGTGGATCTTTCCCCATCTTCACTAAGCTCCAGCATTGCCTTGTGTTGCACATGAGATAACTTAAGAGGCTTGGCAGAAATCTTGGTGAAGTCAGGTGAGGTGAAAAGAGATTGGAGCCCTGGAGGAAAGAAAGAGAATTCCATTAGCTGAAAGAAAGCATGGATTGCGGGTGGGGGAGCAGTACAGCTAATGCTGTGATCCAGGAGGGCACGGAGCTGCTCTGGCAGAGTTTACTGGGGATACAGAGAGGAGCAGCTTACACCTGTTTGTACTGAGCTTCACCCCCTCAATCTCAGAAGCATTGTATGAGCATGATGGAGAGATGCGATAAAAAGCTGAGGAGTCCTGGGCAAGATGATTTAGTTGCTGGTGAAATCTCTACACACTGACCTAACTAATAACCCACCAGCTTCATATTCTTCTGAGAGCAGGAAGCAACTTGCCCACTGCTTCAAGCCCTGGCAGTCTGTAAAGGGGGTGTGATGTACATACTTGTCTCCTTTAATGTGCTGCCAAGTGCCTCTTCATAGTTCAGCTTCAGTTTGGGCAAGCTTAGCACAGCATGGACTGTCTTCAGCTCCTTGTCTACATCGTGGACAAACTCTGAAGTGAGGCTTTCCTCAATCAGAGTCATATTTTGGGTCACCCTGGTAGGCAGGAAGAACATGGCACTGATTCCCTCTGTCAGTGGCAGCTGGGCAATCTGCAAAGCCAGAGATAAGAGAGAAAGAAGAAAGGGTCACATCAACTGTAAACAGTTTTACCCATTCTGTACCAGGCACAGTCCTGAATCTTGAGTGCCTGGTCAGCCTTTCCAGTTAACATTTGTTCTTCCTTCCTGTTTGTTTTTATCCAACATGATGCTTCCTGACCCCTCTGGCTTTTCCCCAGGCTTTCCATCCACCCATGCTGCACTTTTCCTGCTGTTATATGGCAAGTGCTCTCTCACCTGTTGAATCCTGCAGCATTGCTCTGGGGGATTCTCAGCTAGAACATCTTTGAGCTCATGCTACAGTGAAAGATTAGTTGAAAGAGGTAGAGATGGAAAAATTTTAAGGAGTCTGCCCTGCCCTTCTTGCCCAACTTTAAGTCAAGCAATACAGGCTGGTAGGACCTGGGCATTATTTAAATTATGCACTGCTTGTCACATAGCTGATGTAGAAGCAGGATATCCTAAGAATCAACATACTGCCTTTCAAAATAGGGATTGCAAAACTAGCTGATGGGAAGAGCAAGGCTATCTTCTGGAATGGGTTAACAGGTAGGTGTAGCTGAACCTGCTCCTCAGTAGGTTTAGGAGATCTTATGTAATATTTGCTCTCTGACCTTGCAGTTGAGTTCTGAGTCAAAGCCATATCGCAGTATGGCTTTGGGGTCTGACATCATGGACACCTTCACAGTTCTGTCCTCATCCAGATGGAAGTCCTTCAGGGCAGTCTTCTTGGTGTCAAACTTGGTTTTCCATGTCCCTGTTTTTTAAAATATAAAAGGGAGGATTTTCTGGAATAATAGTATATGAAACCAGGCTTATGTCTGTGGCTGAATAATCTTGTGCTTTAATATACAGTATTTGAGCTTTAAGAGTTGAGGCATAACAGGGATAGAAATAGACTGATTGGAGCTACTGATTTACTGCCATCTTTGGCCCCTCCTTTTCATCTGAGAATTGGCTAAATGGCAAATAAATAATCAAGACAGTGTATGTATGGGTGGAGTAGCTATTGGGAAGTTGATGTCTACTTATGTAATTACAAAACTATTTTAAAGGGTAACAGTTGTGTCAATGCATATAAAGTGCTTCTCTCCCCACCCTTTATTTTGCTCCTTGTCTCTAAGCAATAATTCTCCAGGACACTGGCTTACAGCATGTTTTAGAACAGCTCTCTAGTATCTCCTTCCATTCCCTCTACAGTGGTAAAAAGGCTCAGAGCACTCTGAGCTGTGCCTTCCCTGAGTGGTGATATTCTGGAGTTTTGTGAGCTTAAACTTTCTTCTCTGGTCTCTTACTGCAAACAGATCAAGACTCAGCTTCCTAAGAGTAATAATTCTTCCCTCAGGACTATTTCTGTTCAGGTAGTGTGTGTTTTTTCTTCTTTACTAAACGTTCTCAAACACTTTCTTCTCACACTCTGGCAGTCTGTTTGCTTTATTGGAACTGAGAGCATTCCTCTTCTCACACGTGCTTAGTGGACTCTCTCTGTATCCAAGTACACAACATTCTTACCCTTGAAGTGAGCAGCCCCAGCAAGGAGAATGCTGACATCTGAGGGCATGTCCTTCATGAACCTCATAATCCTTCCCTTTGTCTGCTGCCGGACCCAGTTGTTGATTTCTTGCAGGTCTAACTGGGTATTGCCACTTAGTGCCCTCAGACGCATCTTGTAGGACTTCTCTAGTTGGCTGTAAAATCCAGGCTTTGCCCTGAGTCCTGGGGAACAAAAACATGGATATTGCGGCAAGCTCCCTTACCAAAACAATCTCAAGGCAGCACATTGCAATCCAAAACCCAGCAGCAGGCCTCTCAAAAAATATCTGTGGCTGTGTATATACAGAAACCTGCTTTGAAGAAGAATAACTGCAGGCCCATCGAGGAAACTGATCCAAATCCTACAGCCACCCGTGCTGGAGTGTGGGATAACTCTCTTCTGAAAAGTGAAAAAAGGAGATAAGAACCGAAGGCTTGGACACAGCTATTCCAACATCAGCCTTTCTTCTTTCTCCAGCCTGCTTTATGGGTACAGCTTACTCAACCTATTGGATTCTTGGAACCAGCAGGTTCCAAAAGATAGCTCTTAGCTTTCTCAGCAGATGTTTATTGCATGCCAAGAGCAGACATTTAAAATAGCTCTGCAAGGAATTAAACAAAGGAATATGGCTGAATGTTATCACAAATAGAAAATGTGATCTGTGGTTCCTGGAAGCCAGCAACACCTGCCAGACAGCCTGGAGTGAAGGCAAAATTCTCAGCAAGTTTCTTTTTAGGACTTTTTGCACGTTAACTGCTCCATCCCCGTTGTCTTTGTGTGCATGTCTGGTGTTTTATTTAAGTGCACACAAACTCTCCAGGCTCTCTGAAGCAGCAAGAGCATTCCATGCACTGTCTGCATCCTGGCTCAGGAGGATGTCAGAGCCACAGTTGTTAGTGCTGTGTTATTCAGTGTGCGTGTGTGTGTGTGTGTGTATACACACACCTAAATAACTACCTGCTGCTAGTTATTTAGGTAAAATGTAAGAGAGGGGAAGAAGGACTTTTACTTTTCTCCAAGATGATCCGGGAGGCACTTTTCATGCTCTTCTCTGGTCCAGTCACGCTGCTCAGGAGGTCCTTGTAAGTGTCATGGACCTCAGCTTTGTTGAGCAGATCGTAGAAGAGAGCACGAGAAATCACATTTTCGGTTCGTTCTCCAGCACCTGCCAAGAGCAACAACAACAACAGTGAGGGACAGCCTGTCAAACCAAATGGTATGTGAGGAAACTGGGCAAGAACTCACCAAGTGAGAGACCAGAAAGTGCAGTAGCCAGGCTGAAGGGAGACAGCAGCACGTTGGCGGTGGCTGTGCGGCTGGACTGCTGGCGGTACAGGTCGTAGCCAAAGTTGGAGACTGCAGCTGCCAGCTTGTTTACAGGGGTCTTGTAGAATGGATCTTCCTCTTCCTCGCCAGCATTGGCTCCATCAGCGGTGGCAGAGTTCTGGCAGGTACAGGGAGCACTTTGGTTAGACTTGCAGTTTGCAAGGGCGGGCGCAGTTGTGATAAACGTGTCAAAGGCAAACAATGTACAGGTACTCTCCTGTGATGTACAGAAATACTGGCTTAATCTTGGAGGTGAGTGAGGGAACAGTTACTTTAAGTGTCCCAGGAAAGCCAAAGGCACCACTGAATTTGAAATCCACTATTTCTGCCTCGTGGTCATCCCCTGATGTAACTACTGTGGTTTTATCTAGGTAAAGCAGGAGTTAGTCTCATTATGCTGCTAAATAAAATCCTAGTAACTTAGGAGGGTAGTGCTTAATCCTTGCATAAGATTCTCTAAAATTAAATTACCTGCTCCAAGTATCTCTCCCTCACTCTTTGCCTGTTGTCTCCTACTCACCTGCTCAGTAGCTGAGTTCTGGGTTCTGCTTGGGACAGTTAAGAGACCCAGGAAAAGGAGAACCACTGGAATCTGCATGCCTGAACCTACAGAGTAAGAACATGGCAGAGAGAGTTTGAGCAACCAAGCAAATACACCTCTACCACTAGTATTCACTGTACCTGATTGTGACAGGAACTGCAGTGACACATGCTGCTGCTTGTCCTTCCAATTGTGAAACACACACCTGATCTTAGCCAAGTTTTGTTCTCTAGTTGGAAGTACCCAGCCAGCCTGGCCCCAGTGACTTTAAAATTGGGCAAGCACACACTGTGGGTGTGCCTGAGCACAAAAGCAGATGTGTGTGGCCCAAACCACACTGATGTTGGCAGTTTCTGAGTGCCAAGGTCCAGAAAAGCACCAAATCATTTCTTCTGAGTTTGAGACTTAAAAGAATTCAAGTCTTCATTTATAAAAGGTACCAAATCCATATTGTTTAACAGGGCAGAAGACAGCATTGACTGGTTACTGTTCTGCTACACAAGTTACCTGCCTCAGTCAGTAGTTTGCCATGTTTCTTGTGTCTGCACGTACCTGAAAGGCTGCACAGCCTGTGTGCATCCTTTGCTTCTTATTTGCAATTTGATCAAGTAAAATAGAAGAGTTTTCTTAAAGACAATAAGGAGAGGAGGAGTAAATACCTAATGCTGGGCCAGATCTAGAGAAAAAGTGAAAGACAGACCTTGACTTATTCAATCTTTTTAACAGAGGTGGGAGAAAAGTACCAAACTCCCCAGAGCAGTTCCTTCTGTGGAATCCACTTTTCATCATTCCAGTACTGGTATATGTGGCCCTTCCAGACAGATCTGTCTGGTCCAAAGGGCAGTGAGTAACCAGGGTTTTGCTGTGGGTAAACCAGAGCTGCTGCAGTGTCATGCCCCCGAGAATAGACGCCACCGAGGCTGGTCTGAAGCAATGTTTAGATAGATTCCCAGAAATTAAAGGAAGAGGGTTGTATTTAACTAACCCTTGTCATCCAGGCATCTAGAGAAATCAGAGAAAGAACATGTGTTTCAGATTAACTTCAGCTGTAAAGAAAACATGCCTGCTGCTAGAAATACACGTGGCTACAACAGCCCCAGTTCAGGACTCAGTTCAGGCAGAGTGAAAGGCAGTTCGCTGTTTCCCTTTCCTGTCTTTTCTTCTGGAGGCAGCTCTCCCATGGAGAAAAAGGCACCACAGTGAAGGTTTTAAGTTTTCATCTGCGTTCAGTCAGTGCAACACAGAAGTGGTACCCTCTTTTCCCTGTGCACTTGCATCCTGCGACCTGCTGCTATCCCAGCTGCTGAGTAGATGAGGTTTCTGGTGCAGAAGATGTGGATCAAGAGGAATTTAATATCTGGAACAAACCAGTGCGTTTGGTGGTATGACAGTGGATATAATGTTGGGATTGCTCCTATCACTGCAGAGTTTTACAGTGAACAGGCACCATGCTGGAAGAGAGATGACAGAAGCCCTGCGTGAGTCTCAGTTAAACAGGCCTTAGCGAGGGCTCTGTGAGGATGCCTGCACCAAGCTGTATTCTTGCATGCTGAGAGGAAGAGATTTGGCCCAGTCTAGAGATGAAGGTTTTCCATGGAGCATAACCTTTTTTCTGAAGAAAAAAAAAATAACCTCAACACAACCCCTGCTTCCAACTACACTGAGCTCCTGGGACCTCGAGAACGGAGATTGGTTTTGCAGATTGTATTGTTTTTGCCAGTACTGTCACCAGCTTCATATTTCTCAAACTTTGCCAAAAAGCAATTTCCATTTTAAAAAGACAAAGCCTTTTGCGTTTGAATTGGCCTGAACATCTGGATTCTATTTGTATTTCTCTTAGCACACAGCCAGCAATGCAGAGAAAAGAATTTGGTTGGAGAGAGGTGGGATGTTTCAGGCATGATATTAAAATCTGTGGCTGTCTTTAAAGAGACGAGAAGGAGCAACAGCGTGTGATGTTACAGTCAGGAAGGTACAGGAAGAAAACTTTGAGAAACGAGCTGAGAAGGTACTTTGTGTCTGGGAGTTGTCGATTTGTGAAGGCCTGCAGGTGCAAAGGAAATACTTTACTTTCCCTCTACAATGGTACAAGTCTCACATCGTTTATAAACGCTTCTGCCTTTAGAGGTGCTGTGAAACATGAGCCATGAGTTCAGACTGCTCACTCTGCTCGTTCCACCCCACAGCACTCCTGAAGCATCCTGCAGCTACCAGCTCTAGAGGATTGGACTGTCACCAAACTTGTTACCATCGCAGAGAAAAAGCTGCAAGGCAGATGCATGGCAGGCAGAAAACCACCCCAGTTCCCAAGTGCAGTTCAGCCCCGGAGGCAAAGCTGGTGCTGGTGGCTCCCAGTCATTGGTGAGGTCTCTTGGTGGGAATCACACCTTTTAGCACCTGCACGAGAACCATTCTTCCCATTTCCCAGGTGCTCTGAGAGCTCCCCAGCCTCAGCCCCTGCCCTGTGCTCCCCTCACCGCTGGCAGTGGGCACAGGTGAGCTGCCCTGAGCTGCCCCTTACCTCGGGCTCCTCTGTGCCGCTGCTGTCAGGGGCTCCCAGCGGGTGCGAGTCGAGGACAGTGTGGGTTTGGTGCAGCCACATCTGCTTTTTGCTGCTTCCCCCAGCCCAGCCTTCGGCAGGCTTCAGGTTACAGCTTCCCAGGGCTCTCTTAAAGTGCTCTGCTCCCATTTTCCGCTGCTGCCACTCTCCCACTGAATTGCACTAATTTTTTAACCCTTTTTTCCAAGACAAATGTGCTCCCTGTGCTCAGGGCAGTGTAGTGGGTAAAGCAAAGGCTGGAGAGGCAAACGCTCCCTGCCCTGTTTGAGCAAGTCGTTTATCCCAGCAGTTTTGCCATATGTCACATCAGGGAATTTCTTTTGTCTCAGAGGTATGGTTAATGCAGCAGTGTTTAATGGATTTATGGATTTATGTCCAAGATCTAATGGAGAGACTTACAAAGTGGAAGCAGGATTCTGTTGTTTAAGGCAGTTAAGGGGAAGATGCTCTGAACTGCTTGTATCCAGTGATAGTTACTAGTTAACAAGAAGTCATTAACATAATTGGCTTAAAGTTTTTGTCGAAAAAGAAAGAAGCTAAAAAGCCAACGACTTGTTAAAAAAAGATTAATTAAGAGAATCTTGTAGGAGCTTACAGAATGACAAATGATCTGGAGAAAGGGAAGGGGCAGAGGGGTTTCATTATTATTTGCAATGGAAGACTCAAGGGGAGCACCCATCAGTGCACATTTAAATCAAGGGAGTGTATTTTTTATAAGTATTAAATTGTAAAACTCATTATTACTAGATTCTGCAGAATATGAAAGATAAACAGATTTGAGGGTAAAAAAAACAACCCAAACCAAATTAGTGGAAGACAGGTCCCCTGAAGGCTGACAGTGGTCAGATGTAACATCAGACTCAGCAGCTGGGCAGTACAACCAGAGAACAGTTGGTTTGCCTTGTCCTTAGTCATTCTTGGCTTTCTTCTCCACAGTCATTTGTTACTGGATACTGGGAGAGTCAGGATACTGGGCTAACTGGACACGTAGCTAACCTGATCCAGCTGTTTGTCTGCTTGGAAATGCTGGAAGTAAATTGTAGGCAGTACTGTCAGTGCCCCCAGTCTTGAACTGGGATAACTCTTTGGGCTGCCAGGCTCGCTGCTGGCAGGTAATGAGGAGTTCCTCAAGTGTGCTGCACTCAGCAAAGGGGAAAGGATGAGTTTAGAGATGCATTAGCTGCTGGTTTTGCAAGCTGGAAAAGCAAACCAGGTCGTCTGCCCTTTGATTAGTCAGTGCTTCAAAGGTGACCCTTTCTAGCAAGAAGGCTAATAGCTCTGCTTTCAGCTGCTTCTCAGCTTGCTCTGTGAGAAATCATCTGCAGAGAGATGTTTGTGCTTGTTAATGTACCATCCTCGGCCCAGGAGTGGGGGTGTTGGCTGTGGAGATATTTTCTGGTGGTTTTCATCTCTTTTTGAAACCTTATTTGTGGTATTAAAATGCCCTTTATGGAAGGACCACTACAGAAGTTTTTATGTCTCGTCTCTATCTTCAAATGAACTCCCATCTGTTTAAATATAGGTTTCATTTTAAACTGTTTAAATCAGAGTGGTAGTTGCATAGAATGTTATGAAAGACCAGTTTTATTCCTGTAGGTGAAGGGTATCCCTGAAATGGTGCATTAAACTCATCTAACAAAATCAGTTTTGTTAAATCAATACAAACATTTTACTGTTGTTCTGGTTTGGGTTCAATATGCTGTCTGAACATTGCTCACTTCAGCTGTGGAAGTACTGATGATATGAATTTGCTCTGGTAAGGAAAAAATACATCTAATATTAAAGATATTGAGACTTATTTGATATTCTGAGCCAGTGGTGCAGATGGATAGAGCAGACGCCCTGTGCTAGTCATGTCTTTTCAGAGTACAGCTCAGTCAAAATGAAAGCTTTAGCAATGCAAAGTGGAAATTCCTGAGCAGAGACATTAATATTACTTTGCATTTTACAAACTGCCTCTTCTGGAAAGCCGGTGGAGTGAAAAAGAGTCTTATGGTTGGTGTAACTGATAATTTGTTGAGCGAAGCACAGTCATGGAGGGCTGCTGTACTGTCAAATAAGATGAAATTAATAGTTTGACAAGAATAGCTTGGAGGAGGAGTGATGGCAACAGGAGAGAAAATAGGAAATAAGAACCAAGCTGTTCAGGAAACTGAGAACAAGGGAAAAAACTTTGTAGAAGGGGGAGCTGGAAGGCAGAGGCGTCAAAAGACTTGAGTTCCAAATTATGCAGAGGTTGCAGTGCAAGAGGGTGGCATTCGGGGAGGTTACAGTAGCCAAGGCAAGACTTACCTAAGGCATGGAATGGTATTTCTGAATGTTAGGAATGAATCTGTATAAATAAATAAGCTAAAATGTTCCCTGTGGGCTAGAGCTGTGCCCTCATAGTAGGGCTGAATTCTTGTGGGTTTACTTGTTAAAATTGCCTGGCCCTGTAATTACAGCCTCTTTTTGAAGGGTCTGTGTCATTACACTGGTTAGAGGGGTAGGCATTATCTTCAGCCATTCTTCCCCTTTTAGACTGGGAGAAATGCATAATTGCAGGTTGGAGCCAGGACTTTTTATTCCCCAAAGTCGCCTGCGTCCCCAGAATTCATGGTTAGTGAGTCAGTCCTTCTCTTATGCCAGCAGATGGTGCAGACTATTCAGGGACGGAGGCTCCCAGAAGCATTCTGCTCCTTCCTTTGAGGGAAGGCAGACTTCCCCAGTGAGGAAAACGCTGCCAGAAGGGTGGCCCCTGGGCTCTGTAACTGCTGTTTCGCAAAAACAAAGCACCATCCTTTTTACTCAGAATCTGGGGGGTTTGGAACCAGAATCTACTATGGACAGGAGTTGTTTTATACAGAAAGAGCTGCAGCATGGCAGGGGTGTGGTGAGCTAGGCCAATATTTTTAAGTGGTAGGATGGCTTGGTTGGGTGGAGGGTTCGCAAGATTCTTTCATAGAATCACAGAATGGTTTGGGTTGGAAGGGACCTTAAAAATCATCTTGCTCCAACCCTCCTGCCATGGACAGGGACATCTACCACTAGACCAGATTGCTCTAAGCCTCGTCCAAGCTGTCCTTGGACACTTCCAGGGATGGGGCAGCCACAGCTTTTCTGGGCAACCTGTGCCAGGGCCTCATGAGCTTTCATGATAGTGCACCACTGCCTTGGAACAAAGACTCATTTCAGGGTTTGTGATGGGCTGTTCCCATCTCAGACAAAAGTGAAGCTGTAACAGGATGTTGTCTTTTGCCAAAATAGGGCAAAAGCAGTGACATTCAGCTACAGGTGTCAAAATCTGCTCTGCTTTCCTTGGAAGCTGTCCCAGCCATCTACAGCACTGTAGAGTCAGGAGTATCCCAATAAAGGACAACTTGCAATTAACAGATGCTGGTCAGCACCTTTGACCCCTCTGAGCAGATCCCAGCAATTGTCAGGTTTTACCCAAGAGAAAGGTTAAGGGCTGTCACATTCCTACTTATCCCTGCATTGCTGCTCACAGGCAAAATACCCTCCTGACTCTGTGCCACTGAGCTCGTGCCCTAGTTCAGGGAATTCTGCCATCTTACACAGCCAGCTCTGACCCAGAGAGCACCCCATGCACACTTGGCAGGTGAGATGCCCAAAACTTGTTGGACTCAGTCCTTGGAGAGCCTTTACAGATTTGCCATTTCACCTCACAGCCCCTGTTGTCCTCTGTGATGAGGTGTAACAAAAAGCTGATCCTTTGCCAGAGCCTCTCCTATCTTTCCTTCTCTAGTGCCCAGATGTTTTTTCCCCCGCAGACTTTGCAATTATTCAACTTTTGTTGTGTCCTTCAATGCAACACCTTCAGCAAATATATTCTGCTTTATTCTTTATTATTCTGCCAACATAAAAATTACTAAAAAACACTTTATAAAATATGTCTTGAAAAATCTATCATTACCCAACCTCTAGAGTTTCCCGGAAAAGGGCTGCAGATAAGGATCCAAAGTGGTTTCCCACTGCAGAGCCTCCTACATCAATTCCAAATTGCCAAGGAGTGGGAAAAGGGAATCTTTTAAAAGAGCCTGTGCCTGGAAGTGGCTGTGACTCATCCTAGAGAAGACAACTGGTTACTAGTCCAGTTGCTCTAGAGGTCGTTTTCTAGGTGGGCACAGATGGTTTTCAGAGGAACATTGAGGGAGACATGTTCCCAGGAACTGCGGAAGGAAGAGCCATATTAATATATCTCTGGCTGTTGTCCAAGCTGCCAGATGCTAATGATGATTCCAGGCTATGGGGGACTCTAATAAGATCTTAATAAAGACTCTAATAACAGTCTGGGGACAAGAAAGTCTCCCTTCCATGACTGAGAGCCCTGGAAGGGAAATCCAGGCAAAGCAAGCTTTTCAGGTTCAACAGAGGGGAACCTCAGCCTGGAGAAGCTTGTCAGGGCTGGAATGGGCTATCCCAGGACTGGTCTCTAGGGATCTGTAAAGGAAAATAGTAAGGAATTGCCCCCCATGGCCTCAGAGGGAGGTCTCTGAGGGCAGGAGGCCTCTCTCAGCTGGTCCAGAGGGTCAGGTCGCAGTCCCAGAACACTTAGGTTCTACTCCTCTCTTATTTGGGCACGTGGTACTTATTGGCATCTGTGGCTTCACGTGAGTCCCGTGGCTCTTGGATCTGGGGAGCAGCACTGGGGTTGGGGTTCTGGACACTGCCTATGAAAAGCGGGATGCCCGTTTCATCCTCAAAGATAATGAAGACAAAGGGCCGGTCGAGGCTGAAGACAGAGACCGAGCGGGACAGCACGACGCTGGTTGCAGCAGATGCTTCCACCCCATCCTCTTTAAGCTCCATGGTGGACTGGTGCTGCACACTGGACACAAAGAGAGGCTCATCTGTGATCTTCTGCAGATTTGGGCTTGTGAACAGCTCCTGGAGGCCTACAGAGAAAGAAGATGAAGTTAACCTTCCCCAGCTGGTGCCACCAGCTCTGATTTTTCTCAAAGCTGTCTGAAGAAAGCAATTCCCTGCTCTGTTGCTACGTGTGTTGCCCACCATGAAGGCCTGGAGAACTGACAGGTAAGAGAAACAAAAACTGCAGTCTAGGCAGGTTCCCCAGTCTCTTTCTGTATGAAGAGCTGAGGGTGCCAAAACCAGAACAGGTTTCACAAGCTTTGTCCACCTCGTTTAGAATAGTAGTGTAAAACTTAAAGTCATCCTTAAAAAGCAGCAGCAAGTCTGAAGGCTCTTTCTTGCTAGGCTGGAAACACTTTTACAGAGATTATTTTTTTAAGCAATTCTGCAAAACAAAATGAGCTCTTAAATTATTCTCATC